ATGTTTTTAATGTTAATGAATTTTGTCATCCAGGTTAGGTTGGACCATGACTGACCACCACACCAGCAAGGACCAGCTGTCAAGATTCTTCCCTCCTTACATCACATGAAAAACAACACTGATTACACAATTTACTGAAAACGGAGTACCCTTGTGTTGTGCAGTCAGCACAGGGAAATAAATGGCTTTACAAGTAGTTCTCAAATCTAAGCTTAACCCAGAGGAAGGCATTCCTTTGATGTGGTGATCTCAGACCGCTTAGCTATGATTTGAGTGGCTCTCCTCAGCTGCACTCTCAGGCCACTCAACAGCTGATTCATAAAGGGTTCTGTTTGAGTTTTATTTGACTCCTGCCCCATGGGGACTGGGCTTGCACAGGTTGGTTGCCATGGATGTAAGACAAACCTGCACTGGATGGGGAAAAAAAAGATCTCCCCTGAAGCCCTGCTCAGCAGGCTGCATATTTGTGCATTGTGTGAACGAAGTGCAGGAACTTCACAACCAGTGAACAAAAACATGTAGTCCCGAGAGACTTAATGGCAGCACAGGAGTGGGAGGGGAGAAAAAAGTGATGTGCTGGAAAACTCAAAGACCGTCTGCTTGACAGAATGCCATCAGCTTAAGTCTTTATTCTTCTTCTGCCAGTTGCCCACCTCATTTTGGCAGGGAAATGACTTGAACAGCAGCGATCAGGATCAGTTAAGGAAGAGATGTAGAAATGTTGTCACACATTTCTCTGAAGATGAAAATGTAATGAAACATTACCATTTTATGAGCTGTGCTTTGAAGTGCTACTCATAGCTTACAGCTCAGGCTCCTGTTTTCATTTATTTGTGTTACTCATTATGTTAAAGTGCTTCCTCTACATAAAAGATGTCCTTTAAGATTTTTTTTAATGTGCGCAAAATCATGAGCATCAAGTCTCCCAGGAAAAAATACTTTAAACAACATTTTATGGCTTCATTTTATTTCTCCGTGTCTCTTGGGTGTTTGACTGTTTATCCATCTATATTCCTCTAATTTCTTCATTCCCCTCTCTCTCTCTTCAGCTGCATCATATAAAACGTCTAATTGAAGGCTTTGTACAAAACAAATGACCACATTAGCCTGCCCCCTTTTTACTCACCCTTCTTCCTGTCTGTGGTTGTAATGCATTAAACACTCTGTTTGTTCTCTGTTGTTTCTCAAATTGCAGAGCAGAGTGCCAGTCATTTGGAGACTACATCAATGGGACTTGTTTCTCTGCACATCCCCACCCAGCCATCTCCTAAAAGAAACCACCTCCTAACAGTTTTCTTCCTGCACTCCACAGAAGAGTTTATGGTGAAGCACAGCAGCATTGCAAGTGCTAAGGGCAACCAGTCAATTTAACATTGTATTCCTATTTTCAAGATTATCCAGAAGGTTTTTGGCCCTTTTCAACTTTTATTTTAATCTCAAAACACCCTAAATAAAACCCAGAGTCACACAGACTGAATAACAAATAAATCACTCTGTAATTCATCATCATCAAACACTCCCTAGATAGGAAAGACAGATTATACTCTTATCTTGTATTTTTATGTCTGCACATAAAGAGCAAAACAGTTTGTTTTTCCACTCTGTTAAGATCTAAGAACCTGCCAGGCATTTCGGTCCCTCTGTGCTTCCCATACACACGGTGCCACAGTGATTTTTTTCTCCATGTGACAAAGGCTCTTAAGACGTCTATGGCCAAATACAACAATGCCACATGGGTGGCTGTGTGCATGTGTGTGTAAACAAGTATTTTAGGCTCAGGCCAAAGGTTGGAATTGGCATCAACACTCAAACACGCATCAGCTTTTATCACCACACATTTAATAATGTGTGGTGATTCAATAATGAAGTTATGGGCATGAACAGTTTAGTCTGTAGTTAAGATTTTCTTCATGTGTAATTTGGTCCTGATGAATATAAATAATTTTTAACCAACTATGTCATGCAGCTGATTTAGTCATTTAATAGGTATCATTTTAACTGACTAATCAGTAGATTTTGACTACTGCTAGCACCTTTGTGGCATCGTGCATACAGGCAAAGATGCACGTTGACAGCTGGTGGCAGTTACATAGCAATGCACCGTCCAAAGTTTGAGTTTTTCCATCAAATCAAAAGTATTAAGTGTTCTTTTATGGGTTGATAAAAATCCTTAAGATAAATAAACAATTTAAAGACTCAGACTAACAATGCATTGACACAAAGCTCTAAAAACAGTTTTTCTAAGGTCATGAAGAGTTGACATTTTGTAGACATATGGCTTTCACAGCTCAACAATTTGATCTCCTCTCAGATATATGCTTGCTGTAGCATGATTGTAGTGTACATTCCTGGGCTTTGCAAAAATGAACAGTCATTACTTATTTGCCTTCTGACATTTTTGGAGAGCAAACAGTTATTCTGCAAATCAAGAAAGTAAAAACTGAACCACTAAAAATGGATGCCGGAAGCAGCCCCCCAATATCAGTTGACTGACGAGAGCTGACAGTTGTTGACAGTGAACTCTGGTTTGGCAGGAGTGCACACTGGCTGCCAACCCACTGCTGAAACTTTGCGATTGCTTTCAAATCGCAACCAGCTCCTGCAGCTTCATTCTGCTGCTGCCCTGTGTGAACATAATTACTAGTCTCTACAATGTTACAAGAACAAAAAAGATCCACCTTCAGAAAATTATGCAGGAGTCTAAATGCAGCCAGCAATGACTTGATCCTATTAACAAGCATTGTCTGTAGTCAGAGTCTTCCACTGTTGTCCAAAACTCAGCCACACTATTGAAAATGCTCTGCAACAAAATCCTCTCTTTAGTCCCATTTGTGTAAAGTTTGATAAAATACCCCGGTTCAGTACAAGACTGATTTATGTCTTATGTCGCAATTATGGGTTCGGGGCAGAGTGACACAGACAGGGCAGAAAAGTCATAAAGTACTGTATTGAGAGATACATGATGTTATGTTGGTTTTGTTCTTTGTCTTGTCGCCTTGTCTTTAAAAACCCGGCACTCAAACAACTTTGGCTCAACTTAACAGTATATGCTCCACAATCTTCAACATGGATGTTAAACCTGAGCACACACATCAAACATCCGATGACAGAAACAGGGCACTGCCCCTGCAAGCCACAGCTAAAACACTGTGATCATGTGAGACGCTCCTATAAATCCTTTGAGTTTGGGAGGAGGATAACAGCATGTCTTTCAACTGAGAGGCATCGTTAAAGTGAATTGGCTTAATGATATGTCTGAAACTACACGTTCAAATCATAAGCTGTCTGTTTGTCGCCCACCCGTTTCAGTTGTCATATGACAACTATCAGCTGGAGTGGGAGAAATATCCCACACAAACACACTCACTGACTGTTTTTACAACACCCACACAAACCCTAGCTCTTTAAGGTATACTCCCAATCAGAAATACACACAAACTTCTACATGCATACAATTATACACATAAACATTTGCAGTCTCCTCTCAGAGCCTGTTTATGAAATTTAACCCTTACAGCAGTGATAAACACACAAACTGGTTAACTCTTACCTTGAAAAGCAGCCACATTGTGTGAGATGAGAAACTTGAGGCCAGAGCTGGATGTCTGAAGAAGGTTCTGGATGTCTCTTCGGGCCGCCACCTGGTACTTCTCTTCCATCTTTTTGGTGCAGCATGTCAAGTTCTTAGACATGCACACCTGAAGATCTGGACCTATGAGTCATTGAGGTTAAATGTTGTGATCTAAAAACATTCTGGGCAGAGTTATGTTTAAAAAGTACAGTCAAATATAACAGATTATCAATGTTTGATTTGCCTTGTATAAATTAAGGCACACAGTATCAAATTTACAGCTAAAATCCTTGTTTGAATTAGGAAATTAGGAAACCTGGGTAATGGGTTAAAAATAAGGTTACTGTGTTTAAAACAATATTTTTAATCAAGACGAAACATCTTTGGGATTTCAAAAAATACCTTCAGCACAGGTGCATGTTGTTAAATGAACTAGATTTATCAAACATTACCAGGCATTGATGTTTCAGAGAAACTAATGATTCGCTCTGACTCAAATGCGATGCTAAGACATGGAGACACAACTTAGGGGCAAAGGGTTTGCATGCTCTCTTTAGGGTGCTCCACTTTCCTCTGCACATTCCAAAGACAAGCCACTCAGCTGGATATGACACCCTGAACTGCCTGAAGGTGTGAATAAGGGAATTTGGCTAACGATTTTCTGTATTATCTGTATGATAGAGTGGGAACTATCCAAACTGACAAGCTGCTTTTCTTCTTATTGAAACATTCACTGATGGCACAAAGTGTGAAGTTATTACAAGCCATCCTGTAGAGAATATAAATATTGAATTTTTTGTCAATCTATCCAATAGCTGGTGAGAGATTTCAGTAAAGGCCATACATGGCAATTTGTGGTTGGTGCTACAGTAAAACTCAGGGGATGACTAAGGTCAATAGCATTCATCCACTGGGAATCATGAATGGCTGTACAAAATATCGTTACAACCCATTTTGAAACATTTCAGTCTGGACCAGAGTGGCAGTCTAAGTGGCACTGCCCTCCTGGAAACACACTACCAGTGTGGCTAAAAGGACAACAACAAACTCAAGAATAAACTCAGACCAAGCTGTATAAAATGCACATAGTAAATCTGAATAAATTAAAAACTATATATAAAGTGATCAAGAAAGTGGCCGTGTCAATGTGAAATATCAGCAGTTGTTTCTGGTAATATGGAGTATTTCAAAGCCTAAATTGTGATAGACATACCTTAAACATCAGGCAAATAATGTAAATAACAGTGTTTTTCTAGTAGTGCACAAGTTAAAAACGGTTTTAAGAAAACCCAAACATCTAGATCCTGAGGGAAGATGTGAAACCAAGCGTTATCTCCTCACCAAGTAAAGGCTCCGATTTTCCACTATGAACAAATATAAGCTATCTGCACACATACGGGACAATCAAAACATCTTAAAAGTGACCCAAAACTCTGCAAAAGCCTCCCTGACATGCCTAGACAGAGCATGCTGCCAGAGACGCTATCAGCACCCCATGAGGTTCAAAAGTGATGAGGGAGCAGAGCAGGCAGCAGCACATGTAGAGGAATTCAAACTCTTCCAGATAAGACAACATGAAAGCACCCCCACCCCTGCTTTTTTAGCCTAAAAGCTTCTAAGAACTACTTCCACTTCCAACTCCACAGACAAAAGCTTTAATTAGGCTGTGGTGATAGACTTCTGACTTGCTGTGTCACCGACCTAAACTAAAGGCTGGTTGGCACACAGTGTCAAACATGGGAGCAGCTCTCCCTCAGATTCCAGGAATTTCTAGAGGTTAGTTTTCACAAGCCCACACTCAGTTATGTTTAACTTCTAAAATCATGCGAAAGGACTGACCCTACTTCTCGCTATCTCCCATCACACTACTGATGTATTTCAGCGCATTAATCTGAACGCATTAAGAAAGTGATTCACATCTTTTCAATGTCAACATGCATTTGCACTTGGAAGACCTTCCCCCTGCTGCCAGGAAAGTCAGTGATGGAAACAGCAGTGGGTTTCTAGGGTCAGCAGCCAGTGAAACAGGAGCTTATCACTGCTTAACCTTCAGGAGACACCCACTGCACACAGTGTATCTCACAGAAACCAGGTTTCAGTTTGCATTTTCTGTAAATAAACAGCACAATGATTTAAATCCAAACATCCACACAAGCTCATTTATGGGGCAGAAGTGGTGGTGAAGACATTATACGGGTTATTTAGAGGTTCAGGGAGGCATTTAAGGGCTTTCTGTCACTGAACCTGGCTCTTCATAGCAGCAGAGGAAAGGAGTGATGATGTTTAGAGCTAGCAGTTTGTGGCGGGATGGTAGTCAGCACCATTAAGGTTTCCAAAAAGAGCAGCAAGTCACTGACAGTCCTTATAAAGTATCCACACCCAAACTCCCACCCCAAATCTTGTGCATAGTACAGTATCATGTTTACTTACGGGTGGTGTCCAGAATGTTAAGTGAAGCCTAGATTACCTAACTTTGCACAAAATAATTCCTGTTTATCCCTGAAAACCACTGGTCTGCTGCAGCCGACAGAAGAAAACCAACATGTCATCTCAGCAGCTTTACTTCCAAGTTTCATGAGAGTGAAAACAGCAGATGATGTATTAGCCAAGGCAGGTAATAAAGTGAACAGCAAGTGATGCCTTTTATAAGCCATAGAAGCACTGGGAAAATATAGCTTCAAACCTGTTCCTGTTGCTCAGCATGAAGCCCTTGAAAAGTGTTAACACCATTTATTATGGCCTTGACAAACTGCTGAACATAAATCAGAAATATTAGTAGATACTCTAAAAGATCGACTGACTTCTATGCACTATATTCTCGCAGTAATTTAAGACAGTATTTCCTCGAAAATTCTTGAGTTAAAAGTCACAAAAAAGCTGCAATCTAATCAGTTTAAAGCTCTTCTGTTCCGTTGTGTATATTATTGTCAATTTAAAAGGTGTGTAAAAAGAGCACTTCAAGAAGCCAGAAAATGACAAGTCCCCAGCTACAGTGCAGCTGATGGGCTCTAACGTTACAGGAAGGTGTTGTATACCTCGAAACATACAGATACTTGAAAATTAAAATATAAAACAAGACATAAAATAGAGAAGAAATATGAAAATGTGCAGGCTGTTTCTGGCTGATTTATGTGAATTTGACTACAGGTAACCTCTCAGCAAAAAAGGACAAGACAGTAACACACACTCCTGCTCAGTCTGGAAACTTCAACATACCTGGTCTGGGACTTGAAGGCAGTAATTGATTTGGTCCAATTTGCCTGAGCTGGAAAACTTTGCGCACTTCGTCGCATCTGTTTGGGCTTCCAAACCCTAATCCACAGCAACACGCCAAGAGGAAAATGCAGTTCGTCCACAGCACACACATTTTAATCAACACCCGGGTATTGCGGCCAAATAAAAAAAGACCTGTTGTGAAGTTAAAGATTCTTCTAAATGTGTAGTCCAGGTCTCAGGTGAGTCCTGTCCACATTTCAGGTTTCAGCATCGACCACGTGGCGTTTGTGTTACTGTCAAGAGAACACTTCAGTCATTTCCATCCAGACGTGAGACAAAATTGATGCAGTCAGACTTGTCTGAAAACAGAGGGCTGTACAAGTTGGTTAGACCGACGACAGAGGCGGTACCGTAGGGTTACCTGGACTCGCCTGCATGTTGCAGACCTGTGGTCTGACAGCGCCATCTAGTGGACATGTTCAACTTCAGCTAAAGACTGCCATTTATTTTTACAATTAAATACCAATAGGCCAAGTACATCTAAACACAAAACTCACTTCTAAACAGAAGTCATGTTTGTGATTTTATTTAATTAAAATGTTATAAAAGGCGGTTAGTGTGGCGAATTATATTAATCATTGGTTGATTCATAAAATGAAAAGTTTTGTCATATGTAAAATCCAAACGCATTAAATTATTCCCGCCATTTTTTGTGGCAGTTTAAAACGACTTACTCTTGTAGAGTTTAACATTTTACGTTAGCTTTTGCTTAATGACACCTGCCAGTTTTAATAGATATTTTAAAAAAAATGGTAATGAAATTTAATGGCATGTAAATGTTCATTAGAAAATAAAAATTTTAAAATATAAAGGCTGTTTTCATATTTGATTCCTATATAAGGGGCCAGCAAATGTTTTGTCCCTCTTTAATCCAGAACAACCTTTAAGTTTGTCTCAAGATTTAAGTAAATTTAGAAGAACGATTACTTTGTGTTTAAAACATGTCCACATTTTGATTCCTAAAGTGAACGAATCTTCACCAAGAATAAATTTACACCCACTTGGTTTCACAGGAGGAAAGCATATTTGTCTGATTGGACAAGCAGAGCTGCTCAGTCTGTGCTGATGCTTAAAAAAAAAAACTGGTAAACTGTGTCAAATAGCATTGTGCTATACCCATTTCTTTTACCTGAAAGTGCTGGTTATTTCAGTTATCAAAGTGCAATTAAGCTCACTTCATATCATCCTAAGTATTTTTGGCACAATATGCAAAATCAATGCATGGCAACTGCAACTGTATCCTGTCTGTGGCCAGTACAGCATAGATGTGACCTCCCATGATTGAACTGTTGTCACTCAGGACCAGATGTAAAATGCTTATCTGGGGAGCCACTGAAAACTACATGACTGCTGGGAACCCAACTTTAAGTTTAGGATGTAAACCTAGCTGCACGACATTGCCTATTTAATGTGTGGCAAATGGAGTGAATTCGACACAATTCAGTTAAAATACCAAGTGGTGCTAGTACTGACTACAAATATGCAACACTTTACATTGTGGCATCACCAAGTAAAAAGCAATGATTCAAAACCATTTAAAATCCAGTTGAGATGTACATCAACCAAATGGCCCAAGACACACATGGTTAGTAAACACTGTTGTCAACCCACCAAATGCAAGATGTGCACAATAAAAACACAAAGTATAAACGGTACAATTTATTTCTAGCAACCTTACAACTGAATTTACAACACATTTCATACAGACCCAACTCGATAAAATATTTATTACAGGACACAGTGGGGTGTCACAGTTTTCTAAGCAGCATTTAGGTCAGGATCCAGGTCAGCTCCATCTCATTCCTACACAGGCCGGGACAAGTGCAATACCTCCAGGTACACAGCATTGCTACTAATCCCCACCTGCACTGGAAGGGACATCTCCAAATATCCAAAATGTCATGCACAGGCAAATATCTACCACACAGTACAGATGGGAAGGGAAAAAAAAAAACCTTGCAGAACATTTCATCAACCTAGTCAGTTTTGCATGGATTTGCACAGCAAACATCAGTTAAAGCGGAATGCAAACCAGCAAAACTGACCAAGTGACAATTAGCAGACAAGCCAGATCACTGTGGGCATCCGATCTTCAGAAAGATGTAGTTAGTTAGAAGTACTTCAAGTGCTCACATTGCAGTAGATAGGAGAAAAACACTACCTGCACTATAAGCACTTTAGTACTGCTGAAACTGTGGTCAGTTGAGAGTTGGCAGATACTCCTGCTTTTTTTGCATAGATTTGCACAACTCGTCTATTCTTGTAGTGCAGCTATGCAAAACTAGCAGAGAACTGCAAGATATTTGAGCCCAATTAGAAAATTAAAAATGGTGTGGTGGCGCATATCACAACCCCTTATGCCAGAAGGAGCACTTAGGGCAGTAGGTGCTAGTCTATTTCACTATCTGCACTAGATGCACCTTAGCACAAAGACAGTACTTCGAGTGGCAAGCAACACCCAAGAATCTGCCCAAGTGTCAGTGTATTGCTGTAAGTGCCTTCACTGCAGTAGGTATTACACAGTACTACCTGCACTGTAAGCACTTTGACAATACACAGACATTACTGTCCCCCAGTACCACAGGGGGAAGATGGTCACACTGCTCCATGTTAGAGTCCTACACTTCATGGTGGATCTGAAATAAAAAAAAAAAGACAATGACTTAAAGACTTCCTGCCAATGCAACAAGTTGCATGTACCAATTGATTTTGCACTCACGTGTAACCAACTGTAATCAAACCCAAAAACTTGGATTCTCCATTTGTGGTGAATTGTGCCTCACCATCTCTATGTACTCTATATTTACACAAGCTTGTTATTGTGATACGAGATGTTATGCTTTATTGCACCAACACGAGGTCAGTTAAAACATGAATGAACAGCAGCGCCTGCAGGATCTCTTGGCCCGCGTTTCATGCGACACGGGGGCGCCTGCGCAGAGCACGGTGTTGTTCACCCCTCCCCCATCGTCTTTAACATGGCGTCTCGAAGTGCGCCAACCTTAGCATAAATTACTTAAAACAAATCAAGCTCAATGGAGATGCAGCATTGCATACTGAAATCTTAAAGTGCGTGCTGCCTGTTTAGGGGAAATACTGTGGCCTGCAGTTTTGGAGCTTCCAGAAAACAAGGCTACCTTCCATGTAGGATCAAAGGCTAACTAGCAGCAAACAGCAGCCGTGTGCTGCGTTGCACTGGCTGGGCAGGTAGCTTAGCCGCTGCGAGCTGGGGTTAGCTCGATGAAAGCATGTTAAGCCATGCTAACGTTACTACAGTTGCCCCAACCATCACTGGAGATGGCGCAGGAGCAGCCAGGTTGTTTACAGTAAAAAGAGGTCAACTCATTTTTACGTCTGGCACGCAAGATAATAGAATAAAATTGAGTTTAGCGACACCGATTACCCATTAGCCATCAACAAATGAGCACACGTTTGAAAATACACCAACGGTATATCTGCCCCGCTGGACTGGCTGCATGCACACATTGTCGTCTTTTTCTTATTGTGACGGCCCCTTTAAAAATGTTGTGTTTGTACGTACTGTACAAAACTACCATCAAGTGTGTAGCTAGGCTAAGCTAGCCTAGCTAAAACGCGCGGCCTAAAACTGCCCCATGTGCTGTTGCTTTGTTCTGGGGGGCACTTTAACTCACACACCACTGCACTCGAGGCTGAGCAGCAAATTTACCAGATTTACAAACATGGTTTTCAAATATCGGACTAGTCTGTTTATACAAACTCGAGGGTTGTTTTAAGATGGTCGGATTTTTTTTCAAGTAGTTGCTAAAGCGCATTGGAGAAAGCTCCAGGCAGCTTTTCAAATCTCCCTCATTCCTCAATGGTGGAGCTGAGGGGGCTGCCATGCGCCTCACGTTACACTGTTTTCATCACCAACATATCATTTATGTGTTAGTGTTTGGATTTCTTCGCAAACATCATATTAAGCCACGTAAAAACAGGGCTACAAACACACCGCTTAGGATTTCATTCACCAAAACATAGATTCAAAAACAATCCGAAAGCCGACTTCCTGCCGATAAACATGCGCTCGGTAACGTTAGAGACTCACCAGCCGAAATCCACCATCTTCGCTCACTTGCTTAAGCTGCCGTGTAGACTCGTACCGACAAAAGAGAGAAATAAATGCGTGACTATCCCGAAAAGTTTCCTACCGGTGGACACAAACGAAACAAAAAATAAACTCCGAGCCGAACGTGAGTCAATTTATAGCCCAGAAAGGCAGGTTAAAAATGATTACGGGGTTAGGAAAGTGGCGCGAAGGCGACCAGTTGGTAACCATGTGGGTGAATGAAGGGCGGCTCCCACTGAACGTAAATATCTAGCTACAACCCCCAACTCGCACATTAGCATACATAAACTACGGTACTTCCGACACACAGCTCCAACTAACCTCACCCAAGGAAGAACACATGGATCACTACTACTTTGCTTTTATATAAAATGATGTGAACATGCATAACTGTCGGCTTATACGGTTGTATGTCCACTTAAGTCTTGTATTATGATTAAAAAAATGAATAATCGTAAACCAGAGTTTTTAATTTAATACTGGCACTGAGTAGTAAAAGTATTCTCTGGATTTGCCACATTTTTATTCTTTTCTATTTGTTCGTTTAACTACAAAAATAAAAGCACTAATTAACCTGTTGCAACTCGACAACGCATTAATATCATAGGTCTACATAAAAACAATCATTTTAAATAATGTATTGAGCTGTGGCTCATATATGGATTTGTATTTGTTAAAAAAAATTGGACTTTATAAACCAAGAGAGAGAGAGAAACGTTTTACAGCCTTTTGCCTTTCTAAAATTAAACAAGTTTTACAGAGTTTTGTAAACTGTAATTCAGGACACTGTAAAGATAAAAATGTATTAAGTTTGCTTTTGAAAACACAATATAATCAAATGCAAACCACAAATATTTATAAAGTTACAAAAACTACAAAAAAAGTAAATCTATAGCCTAAGCCTAGAATGTGCAGGTTGTGGACAGTGGGGAAAAAGGTCTTTCAAAACGTTTTTGCTGATGTTGTTTCTTTGTTTGTTTTTGTTTGTTTGTTTTGGGGTATGACCGTGTTTTTCTTCTTTTCTCTGAAAAAGCTTGAAATGTTCAACATTCACTTTGTTCAATTATAGTAGGTTAACAGTAATGTTCGATTACAGCTGATTCTCTACATTTGGCTTTTGAAAGTTATTCAATTCCTTTTTTTTTAAGGAAGTTTTTAAAGTTGTTCAGTTTCTTTTAAAGTGGTTTAGAGAGAGACAACAATGAATGCTGAGATGAAATGTAAATGACCTGTTTAAGCATAACTTTATTTAATTATTTTAAAAGTGTTAATTCTGTTTTACAAAAATAAGATTCTAAAAACAACAATTTGTAAATGAAATATAAATTTGACGTCATAACTAATTTATGGACTCAGGAGATTGCATCTTAAAATGAAACAAAGATGTTTTAGAACTAATTTAATCTATTGCTTAAGTTATTAAAACAGTGTTTAACAATAGTCTGAATGAAAACAGCTCAAGACAAATGACATCTTTGGTTTTCTTACAGTAATTCGAATGATGAATACTACAGACATTTGGTTTGTGCAGTGTGAAAAAATCAGGTCATTAAAAGTAGTTTCGGATTATAAAATGTAGAGTTAATGGCTGCCGTTTATGATTATGCACTTCAAAGCTCTGCTGTGACATGTACTCACAGTAAATACACTCATGACCCGGTTTTGCTTTCTTCTCAGATTAAAACAACAAAAATAAAAGGCTCTGGATGTTGTCGTGACTTTATGACCAAAGGCAACAAACCACAAGAGAAGAGCAGTCGAGTACTGCAACAAATATGGGGCCCCCAGACAGGATGTAGGTCCCACACTGAACACTGTACACTTTTCTGTGTTTAGGTGACTATGAAACCTTTCTGGTTACTTTAACAGTAGATTCATTTAAAATGTGGGAAATTAAAGAATTGTTACAATGAAGTACAAGACAATACAAGCCTCAAATACATGCTTCAGATGCTTAATTTAATTTACTCTTCTGCAAAGAAGTTTGTGCAGTGAACTTTATGTGGACTACATTGAATATACAGTAAACTTTCCTGTTTTGGTTTCTTTCTAATATAGGCTATTTATGGGTTCTATGATCAAAAGAGTTCGTTATTCATTAGCAGACAAAATCACAAAGATCATTTAGGTTACTTTCTTAAGATGAATATAGTTTACAAATGAAATGGCAAACCTCACTCACCTTTTTTAAACACAAGATTTACTCAAAAACTACAATTTTAAGGTACTTCAGTTTTATGGTGCTTCATACTTTACCATGTTTCAGAAGGAAATGTTGTACATTGTACTCCACTGCATTTACTTGTCACCTATATTAATTACTATTAAAATTAGGCTTTACAATGAAAAAAATATAAGTTTATAAAATAAAATACAAAACTCCTTTACAGAAAAAAGCTTTGTACTTGGGTTACAATCCATAACCACTCCACTAAAGAAATGTTTCCCCTCTAAACTTCTCACATGGTTTGAGTTAAATAGTTATGTGTTCCACTAATGGGAAACAATATCCAATATTTAAAAAATAATTTTTGTTGTTGTTGTTTATAATGTTGTTTAAGGTTTTTAAGTATATATCCACCACTGAAAGCTAAAAATGTTATTTTTTTAATCACCACAAGAGTAGTTACAAGTTTGATGGAGATGTAAGGTTTTACCTTTTACCATTTGTTTAAATATGCTGGACCCTGTGAACTGTCACAAACATATGTGTCACACAGTATAGTACAGTAGCTGGCCAGCAGAGGGAACTAGCAAACTAATCCTTTAAAATGACATGATTGCTTTTCAACTGTAATAGGAAGCAGTAACCGCAACTTCCCCATCACAGGCCTTTCTGTTCTGTTAAAAATAATTTTTGTGCAATCCACAGAGCTTCAGAAAAAAAATGAAAAGATGGAAGCCTTCACATTGTCCCATCAGGGTCAGATAAAAGCTTCCGGCTCTCCTCATTAGACACCCACCCCCTTCGAACTCCATCTTGTCTGCACAATTGGTAGTAAAGGTTTATCCATCAGAGCATTGCAGATCTAAAAGTATATGATGACACCTATTATGTGATAGTTTATATTATTTGGAATGAAGATAAAGGAAAGTTACACATACATATGGACAATACAGCAACAGGTGTGAAATAATTTTGTTATTTCTACACTATAACACTGAGCAGTGAAAAGACTTACCAGGTAAAATATTGAACCTAAAGCACCATGCTGATATTCAAGCCTGTGTTTGAGATTTAAAACTTCCCCTCCGGTGTAGTACTTCTGCTCCTTTTTCCCCAAGCCCCTCCCATGTCAGGGGCCATGAGCCTGGGGGTCTCTGTTTTGTTCTTCCTATAGAGGAGGCCCGGCCACCATTGTCTCTGTGCAACTCCGAGGTCAACTGAACTCGCCTTGCCTGACCACAGCCCATTCATCTGTGAAGCTCCACACAGGACAAAAAAAATCTCACAAGAGCAAGGATCACTTCAAGCGAGGGGGTGGGAAGACACACACGCATGCACATGGACAACAACCATTCAGTGCAGTGTTTCAGAGTCAGAAGCTAATTTGTGTTCTTTTTATTTCTTTTTTTTCCACAGTGTAGCAGCACGCTAGAGCCATGAAAGTAGTTCAAACTGAAGAAATGTTTTATTTCAGTGACTCAGACACGACTGTAGTTTGGTCAGATTATATAGTCAGAATGGTCACTGAAAACATCGAGTGGTTGAAGTTTTCAGAGAAATGCTGGTCTTTTAAAAGGAGTCACTTATAAAAACTAATGAAGTTATCTTTGACACATTTTCTATTAATTTTCCTTTCAACTACATCTGTTGCCAGAGGGGAGATTGCATTTTGCTGCAAGATAAGAAGGAGGCCATCTATGCCTGTTATCTTTATTAAAGTTTATATACTGGGCTGTAGGTCAAAAATCCATAATGTACTCCAGTGTTTTCCTGCAAATTGTGGTAAAAATGTTAGTCAGTTTATGAATGTTTTCAGTAGGTGCCTTGTTCAGTGCTCAGAGCATGTGTTCTAATGATCCTCTCTTGCTTTCAGAGGCAACAGTGTCCCTGGTGGAGAGGCAGATCATGGAAGCTGACAGGTTGAAAATGTGCAGCATGATGTGACTGAAAGAGCATGAAACATATTCAGCCATCGATGCCGTGCATAGTGCCACAGGAGAGACTGTGAGACAGTTAAATGTTGAATGTTTTTATTTTAAAAATGTTTTCTTTACCCTCACAGGTAGTTTTTATTAGTTTTTGGGCAGAATGCACAAATTTGTTGACCTGCAAAAATGACACTGGAGCTTTTAGACATTTTCATTAGTGAGAGGTTCGAAAGAATCAGTTTGGAGATGCTGCAAAACATTCCAGAGGGATCTGCACATTCCAATAAACTATATCAAACTGTATTTTGCATTTTGACCATGAAACCTAATAAGACACAGTGACATGGTGCTGTTAACTGCAGAATGACAGTCACTATCCCAGGAGAACCATTAGAAGTGTAATGAAGAGACATGCTCCTCTGGGCAAAGCCTAATTTTATCTTGCCAACTTTTAAAAATCATTCAGAAAACTGTTTTAAACTGTTTCATAGCTATGCATACCAACAATAATCTTTTAAAGCTTTTAAATATAAATACAGGGGCTGCAATTGTTGGACAGGGCCATGATGGTCTAAACAATGGCAATTTGCAAATGGAGATCCTGCTTGAAATCATCTTGCATTGTGCTGCTTGCTATTTTGTAAATGCAAGGAACGCAGCAGTGATTTATTAGCATTTATTCCAGTTCAAAGTGTGGATTCAGTGATTGAACTTGGAATCCCTTGAAAAGCCACAAAAATCATGATTTTTCATTTTACTAAACCACATTTCGAACCAAATTTACACAATTCCAAGTTATAAAGTTTTGCTACGTTCTCATAAATTTACTGTTGGAGTGCCTTTTTTATTATTATTTATCAAGGACTTAAATAAAAGTCATTCACTTCTAAATATATCTCACAAAATGCACTGAACACAACTACTGAAATATCAATTTAGTCTCTGATTGTCTTCTCACTAACAAAATGGTTCAACAGTATTTTGTGCATTTGGTGCAGTGCAGCCCAAACAAGTGCCATTTGTCTGTCTGTTCTCAGATACATGTAAACTCCCCACATTCCTTCACACATTACAAACTCTGCAACTGTAGTCATGGAAGTACTGTGTCATAGACTGTAGCCCATGTGTCCATAATGGAACAATAAAATGTATGATTTAGAAAAAGACTAGCGTTTAAGCAGCAAACATTAGACTTTGTAGTAGATGTTGGTGGGACTCTGGGGTGTTATCTCCTGAACTATGTACACAGGGGGCCCATAGTCGCTGCTCACACACTCATAGTGATGGCAGATCATGCTGTCAGAAGCCCGCAGGGGAAACACAACATCACTGCAGTCTGAGCCGTTGTTGTCACTGCTGATGCTGTCCCGCTTCGGCACAGCCAAAGTGTTGAGCGACACAGAGGCAGGCTGGCTTTGTGGGACACAGCCACGGCGATGGTACCTCCACAGCAGGGCCAGAAGAATTATGATGACCAGGAGGAGGATCGCACAGCCGGAGATAACCCAGGTGAACAATCCTGGCTCCGAGCCACCGCTGTCTGTAATGAGAAACCGGAGAGAGAATCTGAGATGAAAGAGTAAATCAGGATATCTGACACAGAGATTTAAAAACAATTTCACTCAGTTTATGCCCTGGTACAGCTTGATCAGTGGTGTTCACATGAAAAACCTCCATCAAAGTGGGCCACTGGTCCTACTGGTAAACAGCCTGAGGCCTTTTTGCAGCGTTGAATGGGCCAATGAGTCATGATCAGTGAAACGGTAAAAACAAATTGGAATATGGAAGAGGCAGTGATCCCAAAAAATAAAGATGTTGGATCTGTTTTTTGTTTTTTCTCCAAACGATGCCCTAGATGTAACAGGAAGGTATCTTTTTTTGGTTCAAATTCTGTGAGCTGAAATTCTTACTAGATTAAACTAGTGTTTTTGTATGTTTTAGCCCATTTACTTCAAATTACAAAAACTTTTAATTATTTAAGTCATTTCCCATATAATACTTGGAACAAGTTTTTTAAATGTATTGTTTCTGCACACCAGTGTAGGAAAATAATAAAAAATAAAAATCATCAGTTAAGTTAATCGGTAACACTAAAAGATAAGTCTGGTGATATTCAAACATTTTCTTAGAATCAACAAATTCCACTAAAAGACTAAAACCAACAATCAGTTGATCCTATCAGCAAGTATTGTTGTTGTTATTATGGTCACATAATTGTAAAGCTCATAAAATTGTATACGTCATACTCCAATGAAACATCTGTACATACTCTGAAATATTTTTTGTTTGCTTTCATACCAGTTTTGCTTTTTATATTATTTTCTTTTGTGGAGGTATCCGTGGTCTTAGACTTCGGTCGTGCAGGTGGGAATCTGGTGGGGGACTCCTGGAGTGGTTGATGCGGTTCTGAAGAGTCTGGAATATAAAGCAGGAAAGATGAGCAGCTGACATACATAAAACCAGAACATATAGCAATTGGCACCATACCTCACGTCTTCATTTTCACATTATGGTGTTGTCATGCTCTGGTAGGTGGAGTTATGTCATAATGTTCCTACTGAACTAATAATGATGCTTGTTGAATCATTAAAGTTTGGGGTCAGTCCCTCCGAATTAAAGCATGACGTCTTTCTTTTTAGACTTATTTTGGCCATGTAGGTAAAAACGCATCACCGAAGAAGTGGAGAAACCAACTTTTCACCTAATTAGACCTCAAAAGGTTGTGCTTTCACTGTCTACATCTACATGTCTCAGTGCAGCCAGTTCACACTTTCCCTGGAGGTTTCATCAAAAGGAATTCTGGGAAATGTAGGAAATCACAAAACACACCACTGGATAATGTCCTCTGAAGGCATTTCTGAGAAAAAAAAAAGTTTATGACCTCAGCCTGGAAAGTGACTGACAGGACAGAGATTACAACCAAATCTGAGTTATTAATATTTACACTAGTGGTTTATGTAAACATAGCACAAAAACAGCCGTATATTTCCAGATACTGTATGATCACACAAAATGCTGATTTTTCATCACAAATTCAAACACCTAAATCATTTATGTGAATAATAATTTCTTTGATTCTGTGCAGCTCAACATCAGACCAAAATACACCACACGTATAAACAGGTACACTGTAAATGTAGTGTGAAGGACCAAGCTGCCAGGCAAAAAGAGCCACAGGTAACTTTTCAAAAAAGGGTTTTATTTACCCAGAAAGAAAAAAACTAATGTTTTACAGAATATACACTAAAGGTCTTGGCCTACAAAAGAGGTCAACAAAACAGAAGTAGTATTTAAACAAAAGGTAACTGAACAAACCAAATTGAACTAACAACCCCACACAAACGGGGACATATATACTGGCTGATCAGAGGTGGGCGAGTGTGCACTTACATCCTTTCACTGTGTGGCTGTGGATATGGCCATCATATACTAATAGTTTAAGAAATCAAGAACCCATGAGCGAGTGATTTATCCTCAGGACATTTAAAATAACAGAAATGAATATGTTCAGAATCTGCTCCATAAAATTTTAATGTATGTGATAAAAGCAGATTTTTTTTTTTTTTTTAAACATTGGCTATTCTGATTGTTAATACAAAATAAAAAGATTAGTGACTGCCACAGCCAGTCCGAATGATCACATGCAAGATAATACTGATGGCCTTAAGCTGCCAGTAGTCTGAATTAGGGATTTGACAGGAATCTCTCTGCAAGAGAATGAACAGATGATCGAGATGATCTGACCAGTCAGCAGTTCCAGAGAAGAGGTGATATTATTCCATTACACATACTGAATAATAACCAGAATCACACAGTTATTTTTCCTTTGGCATTGTTTTTCAGAAAGTTGTGGTTCTGTGTCTCGCTTTCATTCACGCACTGACACCCATGCAGCACACATACAAACACAAAGTACTTACTTTGGCCGACTCTCAGCACCAGCTTCATGGATTTTGTTCTGCACATCCCTCCATTAGCATTATCCAGACCCAGCAAAGTGCCTGTAGAGGTGGCTGGAAGCAGACGCTGAAGTTATGAATTTCTTGTAATCATTGGAATACAACATTATCAAGTAGGTTTCTTTGCAGATAGTCAAACATATTGCCAAATGTCGCATCACTTATGCAGGAAAAAGCCAACACACAAGGAACAAACTATGATTTTTCCTTTTATAAAATGTCAGTAAACAGTTGTAAATGCCTATCACAAGTTCCCAGAGCCCCATTGTGACATCACTGTATTGCTTGTCTTGACCAACCAACAGTGTAATACTTGGCCAACTATCACATAAGACAGACACAAGCAGAAAATCATCATATTTGAGAAAAATAACCAACCTACTTACTAATAATTAACATACATTCAAAAGCACACAGGCACACACCAAGAGCTCTCATTCCACCCGTCACTCCAATACACACACGTAGATTTGTTAGCAGCATTTAGGTCAGAGAACATCTCACAGGCTACAAGCCACGTTGCCTTGAAAGCTCCCATCAAATCTGCCTGATGCTGTAAAAGCCTTGTGTGATTTGGGGCATGTAAGCCCTTGGAATCACTGGCCTGCCAGTGCAAAGTGTGCTGTCAGAGCGTGGCAAGCTGGATGAGGCTACATGGTCAGACTTGCTCTCTATCTCATGCATCACTTGCCACTACGATGCTGGTTTAACCGACAACAGTGCAATAACTAGGCCACATTTTTTGATTCTCACACAAACTGACAAATTGATAGGGAGCTGAGAATGATGGCTTCTTCTTCTCTCAGGGAAAAAACAGCACTGATTCAAATGCTGTTCCACCTGTAGGAACCAGCAGCTTGTGTCTCTGTTCAACTGATGTTTTATGTGTTCGTATGCACTGAGACACACACGGTGACAGCCATAGTATGTATTATCTTCACTAACTTACAGGTGATATAATAGTCCCTCCCCTTGAGGAACTCCAAACCCCACAGGTTGGGGCTGAACTCCTGAAACTTGAATGTGAACTTGACATCCTGGTGAGGCTTGTCGCCGGTCAGCAGGGGGGGG